AGGGTAGCTGGCCGCCAGGTGTCAAAGATCTCAGCCTGAAACTGCCCCACCGCAACGGGCGGTCTCTGTGCTGGCAGGGGACATCAAAGGAAGGTGGGTGGGGTGACCCAGCGACGGTCGCCGCTTGGACGGGGGTCCCTTCCGCGTCCTCTCCTGGGCGTGTGGGACGGTGGAATGGGTTCCTGCTTAAGCAGACGGGAGGGCCCCTCACCCTGCCCCTTTTTCGGGTTTGCTGGCCATCAACCTCGGCTTTGAGGAGCGCCCTCACGGGTTTCCGTTTCCTGGGCAGATTCCGTGGGAGTCCCCCACAACTGCAGAGACCAGGTGTGCGTGGCAGCCTCCAGCCGGACTGGTTACCCTGCGTCCCGAGGACAGGGCCGGCTAGTGTGGCCACCGCGGCGGGAAACCTGGCCTCGCACAAACATTGGTTGGGTTGGAAGGTTCATGCTCTTCCTAGAGTGTCGGATAGGATTCATTTTCCGTCCCTTTGATGCTGGCTTCGCACCAATCCTGATCTAGGCACTGTGCCGTGCGCCCGGGCCGCCGGCGCACAGATCTGCCCCGGCTCTCTGGGGCTCCAGAGCCGGTTTCCTCTTCTCATCTAAAAGCCCTCCAGGCCGAGAGGCGTGCTGTCCAGCGTGGAAGGCGGCTGCCCGCAGCGAGAGAGGCTGCGGGCAGGGTCGGGGCTTTCCTCCTGAGACTTCGGAGGCGGAGGTGGCCGGGGGCGTGCAGGTGGTGCGCTGGAGTCCCGGGCGCCCTGGAGACGCGGCTGACTTTTCCCTTGTCGGTCCGAAGGGCCGGCGGCCGACCTCGGTGGGATGCGCGCGCCCTCTACAGGTGGCGGCGTCGGCCCGGGGCGCCCGCGCCCACCCCTTACCCCCGGGGGGCCAGTAGCTTTCTGGTTGCGAGCCCTAACTGAGAAAGCCTTATCTACCCCCCACCCAACGGCACCGCTGGGCGCCCACCACCACGGGCGCCCCTCTGCGTCCTCCCTGAGCCCCGGCGCTCGATCCATGAGGGCGGAGGGGAGGAAGGAGAGGTCCACACGTCCGGACCACCGTCCTCCCAGCCCCTCCGCATCCATCGCTCCCGGCCCCCACGGGCAGGTAGCGGCGGCTTGGGGCCGGGCCCTCGAGCGGGGTCGGGCCCTTGGCAGCCCAGTCTGTTCTTCTGAGGGGGCACTGGATTAGGCGATCACATCAGCGGCGCAGAAACTAACAAAGGCCGAGCCAGCTCTGCCCGGCACCCGTCTGGCCGAATCCCCGTAGAAATGGGCTCTCCGGAAAGCCTGGCTCCACATCGGGAGCCGCGCCTGCTCCTGCTCGGCCAACTTGCTCCTTCCCGGTGGTCCCAGCCCCTTTCTGCAGCTCTCATAAGCCAGAGGACAGGCTCGCTGGGGTCACCCCTGCCCATTTTCTCCAAAACAAAACAGCCAGAGACTTGCGAAGGCAGCAAAAGAGAGCACACCAACAGTCTTCTTTCTCTGCAACAGTCTGATTTCGAATTCGCAGGCCTTCCTGGAGCGGACTAGTGCTGGGGGGTCACATTTCCATTTGTAGGGGGAACGCTTTCCTGAACCAAAAGACTCAGGCCTTGGTCCCAAGTAGCTTTTCACCCAGTGACCGCAACATCTAGGCCCAGCTTCCCTCTTCACTTCAAAGAAACTCTGTTCTCCCTGGAGGCTGGAATTTATGAATAAATTCATGCTGAGGTTGGTGCAAGCCTTAAGGGGTCGGGGAACGTTCTATAATAAGCAAATCACCTCTTTTTTCGCGAGCCTTGGGTTAGGAGTTGCAGTAGCTTCTAACTCACAGTGACTCCTCTGGAATTTTATGGCTGCCTCCTTGTAAAGCATTAGCACATGTGGTGGCTTCAAGAGGTTGAGTGGCTTTCCAACACAGCTTCTCTGGATATTGTGGGGGCGGGGAGAGGGAGAGTTTTGGTTTAACTTTGAATGTCTCTGGAAGGGAGCAGTCTCAAAAATGAGTTGATTATATATTGCAGCATCCCTGACCTCACCTAACAGATGCCGGTAACGCTGCCCCTGGCCCCAATCCCTGCCATTGTGTTTTTTCTATTTTTCCCATTAATTCAGTCTCTCAAACTCAGCACTACTGACGCGCTGGGAAGGATCATTTCTTTCTGTCATGGAGACTGTCTTGTGCACCTCCGGACATCCAGCAGCACTTCTCTGGTATCCACACACTATATGCAAATGGCACCCACCCCACAGCGTGACAACCAAGACCTCCGGATCTGCCAAGGGTCCTCTGCAATGCCAAATTGTTCTCTGTTGTGAACCACTGGTATATGGACTCTTAAACCCCCATCCCTTGCTTGGAAACACATCTTTTTCTGCACCCTCTGCAAGCGGCCAAGCCTTTCCCAGGCTTTGATTTTTCTGTGCCACAAGTATTCGGCCCATGCCCAGACGAGTTATTTTGCCTCAAGAAAGGAAAAGAGCAGAGTCTATTGTGTTTCCAGGGATCACTCATGATGTACACCAGGCCAAAAGTTGTTTAAAAAATTTATTGATATACTAAGAGATAACAAAAGGACAAAAATCTTCTGACGCCATTTGCTGTCTTTCCCCTGCAAAATAAACATCAGTCTAAAAAAAGAAAAAACCCTGCAACTTTGCTAGTTTTCCAAAAATGCTAGAAAATCAACAGAATCATGGGATGCACTTGAGTAAAATCTGGTCGTCTAGGCACTACCTGTCCCCAAGTCCATTCCCTTTCCCCACACCATCAGGGGCTTTTTGGGGGAAACATTTCTTTGAACTGATTGATCCTAATTAAATGTGGGCCCTGGGCTGCTGTCCTGTTTCAACACAGATCCTCTCCTAGGGCAATAACATATCTACTTTTGTTCACTTTTAAGAAAGCAAACAGCCATAGTTGAAAGCAATTAGAAGTGGCATGCATGAATGATTTTTTTTTTTTTTAATTAAAAAACACAAATCATGCCAGTGATTGGCTTTGGTTCAAAGCTTGATCCTCCCCCAGTCTCCCCTTAATGAAAGCTCTGGGCCCAGAGCCCTCTCCAACTAGGTCAGAATTTCGAGCGTAACCAAAACAAGGAACACTCTTTTTTGGTACAAAATATATACATATGAAAATATGCCAGCACCTCTAAGGAAGACAGACTGGCCACTGCTTCCTATTCAATACAGGAGCAAACAAGATGGGGTTAACACACCATTACACACATATACACTGCCACAGTTCCTGTGGGACCTTTGGGAAAAAAGCAACAATGCATCTTGTCAGATGTGCCAGACACCTAGCTACACAAACACACACACACACATAAATAGCAGCAAATAAAAATAGAAAGTCTACTTTTATTTATTGGTAAACGTAAGACAACCAAGTCTGAGCATTCGGTGCAGTTCCCAGTTGTGGCCCTTGCCCTGCACACGTGCACACGCTCTTGAAGCACCAGGAACACACGACACAGTAAGAAGGCAAAGTGGCTGGGAGTAAGGTATCTGCAGATTCAAACTTTGGGATTGAAGTAGCTGGTAAGCAGAAAGGCACCGAATCAGGTTCTGGAGAGACCTGGCTGCTGGGGAGGACAGGCAGCCAGGGACAGATCCTCATTTCTCCAACAGCTCCTGGAAGGACAGAGTCACCCCAAGGGCTTGGAGAGCTGTTAGTCTGGCTTTGGAGCGTTGAAGGTAGCACAGTGCTCCGCAGGAAAGTCACAGGCTTGGCTGTCTGGGCACAAGGAAGCTGGTGCCCGAGGCCCATCATGCCAGGATCCATGCCTCCTCCCAGGATGCGCAGTGAGCTGGAATCTCTCCCTCTCCAACTGGGAGCAGCTCTTCCTTACTGTCTGCTTCCAGCCCTGGCCTAGCTATGTGGGACCCCTAGCCCTTCAATTCGCCGAGGCGGGCACCATTCCTGTGGCAGCCACCACCACCACTGTGGGCTGGCCCTCAACGAAGCCACGGACATGGGTCCCTCCCCAAAGGCACACTGTTAAGATCAATTTGGCTACACCAAGGCCACCTCTTCCTATTTGGCACGGTGAGGTACTGGGGGGTCTTGCAGTCCGGTAGGCCTGTCCCCCAGAAAATAGAGCCCATTCCCGAAGTCTGGGCTGCTCCATGGAAGGGTAGCCTTCCCTATAGTCAGGCACTGCTGGCTGACTCCATCCAATCAGAGGAACAGAAAGTGACCACCCCACCCTCAGTTTTTGGCATCACAAAGACCCAGTGACCAGATTGCCTGCCGCTGCCACCTCTGGGCTGCCCTGCCTTTCTGCCCAAGCTGCTCTCAGAACAGAAATCCTGGTATTGGTCAGAAGCCATACAAGGTGCCGGGCGCGGTGGCTCAAGCCTGTAATCCCAGCACTTTGGGAGGCCGAGACGGGCGGATCACGAGGTCAGGAGATCGAGACCATCCTGGCGAACACGGTGAAACCCCGTCTCTACTAAAAAATACAAAAAACTAGCCGGGCGAGGTGGCGGGCACCTGTAGTCCCAGCTACTCGGGAGGCTGAGGCAGGAGAATGGAGTAAACCCGGGAGGCGGAGCTTGCAGTGAGCTGAGATCCGGGCCACTGCACTCCAGCCTGGGTGACAGAGCCAGACTCCATCTCAAAAAAAAAAAAAAAAAAAAAAAAGAGAAGCCATACAAGGTAGCTCCCAGACATGGCCACCTAGAGGTGGCTCACAATCTTGAGTTAACAGGGGCCTCAGGGCCAACGCTGACAGATTCAGCTTCCCAGGGCCCTCTATCAGGGGGGCCCCTAGAATTTGTCCAGCTTCCCAAATGGCACAGGTATAGTTGTTCAGCTGGAAAGGAGCCAAGCAGGGAACGCCTAAAGGTGTGGGGGATTGTCAGGGAAAGTGATATTCCTTAAGGACTGCCTCATCCACTTGGGCAGGACCCACAGCACACACCTGCAGCACGGGCAGAGCCGACAGATGGGCCCATCGACTCACAAGTGCCAGCACTCCTGTCCTCCAGGTCTCCAGGGCAGTCTGTGGGCCATTAGCACGAAGCCAGTCCTTTATTAGCAGAAGGTAGATCTTCGGAGTGGAGGGAGGGGCTTGCTTGCCAAGGGTCCTGCCCACTGGACTCCCCTGGACCTGAGCACCTCCACTTTGGGTTTTCCTTGGGACACTGAACTCTGGGCTTTCTAGAAATGGAACATGCTTCAGTGGGCCTGGGGCAGGGGGTGGGTCTGGGTTTGGAAGGGGACTCAGGTCACTTCTCATCGGGACACGGGCAGGAAGGAGGGCGGCAGCCACAGCCTGCCTCCCCTGCTCCGAGGCGTGGAGGCTCTTCGGGTGGAACCCAGCTGTGGGACCACCCCCTCCCCACCCATGCTGGCCCGTAGGCTGTTGGGGGCTGTGGATGCCACCCTGAATTCTGGCTAGATGGCCACAAAGCCAGCCTGTTAGGGCTCCTGGGCCTGCTCTACTCTAGCTGCCTGCCACTGTCCTTTCACAGTAAGGCCCCAGCCAGCCCCCAGCTGTCAGGGGCAAGCTCCCCACCTCACCACCGCGGGTTCAGGCAATGCCAGCCAGGCCCGCCCCTGCTCATCCCATCTCCCAAAAGCTGCCATCAGGTGGCAGGAACACTAGTCCCACTGGCCTTGCCTCCCAATACTCTCTGCCCACCCCAGGGCTGAAAGCGAGACACACCAGATGCCCCAGCTGACACCTCAGCCCCTGCAAGACAGGGAGCAAAGCAGTGATGCAGTCACACAGGCTAGTGAGGAGCAGTTCAAACGCAGCCATGAAGAAGCCTGCTCTGTTCAAGACAGTCACCTTGAGCCACAGGTGCCACTGCGTTTCCTGAGGCAAGAGGGGAGAACGAAGAGGCCTGCAGAGGTAGGAAGATGGTGGAGACCAACAAGGCAGCGAGACCCCCTGCCCTACCTCGCAGGACAGGGCAGAATGCGGGGAGAAGCCCCTTCCAAGTCTGCCCATCAAGGAGACCACCCGCTCCTCCTCCCTGACCCAGACTCTTGAGGGCGCTTGGGCTGGGAGTCAGTTAGCCAAGCAAAACCACAGGCAGCGAAGGGGAGTAAGACGGGGCAGCTGGTGGCGCAGGGGATTCAGTAATGCCTCAGGTTGAAGAAGCCCACGCTGGTGGGAGACTCCTTCACTGTGACGGTGATGAGGTTGGCAGTGACGTCAGTGACAAAGACATGCTCGATGAGGCTGCGGGTAGGCTTCCAGTCCTGGCTGGTCTGAACGGACACTGACGGGTTCTGACCCGTGCTGGGCGGCGAGGTGGAGTCCGGGTCAGAGTCTGAGCTGCTGCTCTCCTCGCCTGCGCTCATCTCCGGCAGTGTGGCTGCCTTGCGTGCTTCTCCAGGGGCTGTGCGGCTCTCCTGCCCACTGGGGGTAGCACTGCCCTTGACATAGTCCCTCTTGCCGGCAGGGGTGGGCGGCGCTACTGCTCTGGAGGCCAGCTTCTCACTTTTGCTCGTGTCGGTGGGCATGGCGGCCCCGCTGCCCCCAATGAGGCCACTCCCAGTGCCCTTCCCAGGGACTGGGTTGGTGGCTGGGACACCCTTGGTGGTGGTGGCATGGCGGGCGAGCAGACCCACCCCAGGCATGCCATTCTTGACACTTTGCAAGTCCAAGACCTGGAGGCTCAGCTCCTGGGTGGGTGCTGACTGAGGGCCTGGGCACCCAGCAGGTACCCTGCTGGCACCATGGGTGTGTGTGGGGCCCCCTGTGCTCCCTACTTTTTGCTCCACAGCCCCGCTGCTGGGGGCCTTTGGGATTTTGCTTCCTGGAGGACTCATTCCCAGCTCCCCTTTCTGCGTCCTCACCTTCAGGTCCAGCCCAAGGCCGCACTTGGTGGTGGCCTGGGCCTTCAGCGCCAACCTGCTGGCGGCCTGGCTTTGGGTCATTCGGTTCATGTAATGCACGATGGAGCTCTGCCAACTGATGCCACCCCGGCCGGGGCTACTGGCCATGCCCTTCATCAGGCTGGCCAGGTTCTCTGGGGTGGCCATGGCACTGGGGCTACCACAGGCCTCCTTGGCATGGGCCTTCAGAGCTGCCAGGCCTGCCACGGGGGCGCTGAGTGGAGGGGGTAGCTTGCTGGCTGGGGCCCCCAGATCCTTCCGGGCGGTTTTCAGCACCTTGGCCAGGCTCACGGGTCTTCGGGTTGCCTTCTGCTCTGGGGGCAGGGGCTTTCGTCCCCGCTTCTTCCTGATGGGATCCTTCAGCTCGGGTTTGGCCACCAGGATCTGGGCCTTCTTCTGAGGCACTGGGTGGGTGTCGCGGCCCCGGGGACCCCTCTTGGCATCTAAATCACTGTCATCCTCTTCATCTGAGGAAGAGGATGACGACGTAGAGGAAGAGGAGGAACTGCTGGACTTGGATTTGGAGGGAGCATCAGGTTCCTGAAAAAAGATAAAGAAGTTGGCTGGGTGCGGTGGCTCACGCCTGTAATCCCAGCAATTTGGGAGGCTGAGGTGGGTGGACCACCTGAGGTCAGGAGTTCGAGACCAGCCTGGCCAACATAGCGATGCCGTCTCTACTAAAAATACAAAAATTAGCCGGGTGTGGTAGCACGTGCCTGTAGTCCCAGCTACTGCAGAGGCTGAGGCAGGAGAATTGCTTCATTGAAATTGGGAGGTGGAGGCTGCAGCGAGCCGAGATTGTGCCACTGAACTCCAGCCTGGGTGACAGAGCAAGACTACGTCTCAAAGAAAAAAAAAAAAAAAAAAAGGTTAGGTGTCACACCTCCACTGCCTGCTCCCAGGGTCCAGAGCGCCATGCTGTCCCCAAGGAACACTGGGCACCTTGCAGCCATCAACTCCTGTGGCTTCCAGACCAGAGAGGCAATCAGGAAGGAGCAACTTCTCACCACGCTCACAGTTCCACGAGAGGCAAAATCAAAGGTAAAATAAGAGAGAAAAATAGGTGGCTCATAAAAATGAAGTCAGAATAAGGACGGACGAAATCTACACCGTAACATCCTGGTCCACCATCAGCTTTCACGGGGAATAAGATTTAGCTCCGGGCTGTAGAGCAGACGTTTAAAGGGAACGGTATCCAGAGCATCACAGTTATCAGGACTCAGGAGGTTACAGGTCGTATGAAGTAGCACACACAGCTTTGCAACCTAAACCAAGTGGGCTTCGGTATCCCCATTTCCCAGCCTGAGCCTTACAGGACACAGGTAAACAAACCACTGCACTCCTCGCCTTCCGGATGTCACCTCAAATATTAAATAAGAGCGTCCTTGTGTTTCATAGGCCTCCCATGCTGCCTGCTGGGTCAGAATTCTACAGCGTGAGCTTTAGGGAGTCAGATCCAACACTGCCTCCCTACCACCCCGTTCTCCCGACTTCAACAGGAGTGATCTCCTCAAACCTCCTCAAATAAGGCGTCAATCACTGCCCTGTAGCCACTCCTCAGTCGGCAGGACTTCTGCAGCCCCACCATCCTGCTCGAAAAAATGATTTTCAAGACGATGTAAGGCCAGTGTAGACCAGCCAACAAGATTCTACAGCACAGAATCCCGTTCATTCAGGAAATCCTCCTGGAAAGGCGGGTTCTGTGACTGAGCTCATGGCCACAACATGCGGAGGTCCACGGACAGTGCTGGGAGGAGGGAATCAAAGCAGCACCCGGGACTGAGGCCAGGCCCTCCTCCCCGATCCCGTCCTCCCTCAACTGTCCTCAGGGAAGGGAGGGACCCTGCCACGGACCCCAGGGGTGCCTGCATACCTGCGGCAGGGTGAGCCCATCACTGTAGCGGGGAGGGCTGACAGGACAGTACCGAGACGGCCGAAGCACATCATCAGTCCACAGCACCTCTGCCCTCCTCCAAAGCCCCTTCCGGCACCCCCTGGCTATTGGGTTAGCCCTGCCTTTTCTGGCTACCTCGATTGAAGGTACACTCGCAGGTGGGCCTGGAGTAGTCCAAAATCTTGGGCTTGTGGGTCACATCTAGTCGGCAATCCTATGAGCACCTACTATATGCATGCTTCCTGTTCCTTTCTGGACCCCATGGGAGTGAAGAGTGCTCGTCAGCAGCAGTTTGACCCTGCCACCCAGCAGAGCGGCGTGCAAGACAGGCTGAAGCAGGAAGCCCCTGGGAGGGGCGGGGAGGAACTCTCAGCCGGCTGGGGCTCCTGGGCAGCAGAAGCTGAGAGGCAGGAAGAAAGGGGGCTCCTGTTTTCCGAGTAGAGGGACAGACTGTTGGCAGAAGTGCCACCCCCTTCCTGAGGGCCCCAAACCCTCCCTCTGCCTGCCCCCTACCCCAAGGGGGTGCTGGGAGGTGGGGTCAGTATGCCTGGCGCAGACACCCACCTTGAGCTTGGAGCGTCGGCTGCAGGAGGACACAGCAGTGAGCTTCCTTGGCCGGCCTCTCGGCCTCTTGCCTCTCTTGCGGTTCTGCACCTCCTTCTCATGTTCCCTGAAGGCACACCACTAGTTAATGGGGGAGAAGCCCTAGGGCATACCCCTTCTATCACATGGGACTCTATGGCTTCCAGCACCCTATTCCTGTTGGCCTGTAATAGCTTATCCTGTCTGCTGCAAACACATCATCAAATACCCAAGGCAGAGGTCAGACCCCATTTTTTGCACTAGGGTCAGTAACCAGCCATCCCATTTCATTTGGGTAAGGACAAGCTGAAGAGAGGAAAGCAACGCTGGGAAAACGATGATACCCCAGTTTTCTCCGACCTCTCTTAAGACAGCTTCCTGCCGGTGCACTGCTGCGTGGAAATTCTAGCATATCCTAACCAGAAGTGGCCTTGGTGGCCACATGGTCCAACCTACTTACTTTCAATAGGAGAAGGAAGCCCAGGGCAAGGAGATGCCAGCAATCCCCTGGGCAGCTGCCTATGCATGAAACCCTCACCCAGGCAAGGAGCAACATGGGTCCTGCCCTCCAGCCCTTGCAAAGCCTGACTGCTGGCATATGACTCTCCTTGTTTCCTTTTTAAACATACCTCTGTTCCTAAACTCTACTCTTGAGGGAGATAACAAAAGAGCCGAGTTCTGAAGCAGGCAGGGCTCAATGCATGCCCCAACCTCAGTACCCCCCTGAAGAGCCTCCACACCTCCTGGGTCATGAAGCGCTAGTAGAACCTCCAGCCCCCAGGGAAAGTGTGTGTTTCAGGCTACTCTCAAGGGAAGGGGCCCTGGTAATTACACTGGGCAAACATCATCTCACTGGGGCCTGGAAGGCAACCTCCTCAACGCAGTTCTGATCAGTACCAGGCAAAGCTCATACTCCAATTAAGTACTGGTCCTTAACCCGAAATCTCCTAAAAGGCCAGTGAAGAGTTGCATGGATCTCCTCCGCTGAAGTATTAACCTGTGGACGGAGTGCTGTGAGCCTGTACATTGCCAAGGGCCATACCCCCGCCCCCTCCAATACCAAGCAGGTAACGGCCAGCTCCTAGTGCCCACAGGGAGCTAGCGTGTTGGTGCATGGAGAGGGCTGAACAGCCACCTTCTCCGTTTTCTTTCTTCCACGATGTAATCCAAGCCACCCATGGGTTTTAAACTCTTGTTATCTCAGGCGTTTCTGCTCTAACCAAAACCAGGGGCAAGGGCACAATCTCTCTCAACTGTGAGGACATTGTGTTAGATGCAGAGAAAAGTACCAACCTCTGAAGTGGGTCAAGCCATTCCCCCACCCCAAGGCTCACAGGACCCAGACAGGAAACAACACAAGACAATGGGTTGCCATTACGATTTTCCAAAGGGATTTAAGCAAGCACAGGCTCCTCTTCTTTTTACTCACCCCACCAGAAAACTCTTGTTTCCCCAATGTCATGTCCCCTCTGGGAAGACCCAAAACGTTCTGATACAGCGGAATAAAGGGAACGCACCTTTCGCCACCAGAGAACAAACCTGCCAGATTGACCCTGGCTGGGAAAGACTCTGGCAACCAATTCTTCTGCCTCTATCCGCAGGGCAAGTCCAGCCAGGGGAGCCAGGGGGAGCTGTCAGTGAAACACCCCACGCCTTGCCATTGCTTGAGTAGCACTCCCTGGCCCTTCATGCTGGGGTGCGGTGGGCACATCCACTGTCCTCTCCTCACCACCCCTTGCCCTCGAACATCTCAAGAAGGCCTATCTCTTAACCCAAGCTTCCTACCTAAAAATAGAAATGACATCTAGAATGACAGAAACAAGTCTGGCCCAATCCGGTCCCATGGGGCTATCTGGTACTGTACGCTGCACACCAGAGCAAAATAAATGTTTCGTTCTTGAGAGACACCACGATAGGCACAAGCGCATGTTGTGTTCCAGCTCCCTCTCTGAGCCTTCTCTTGCCTGATGGCACACGCGTGCAGGGCTGGAAGGGCAGGCCTGCGTCACTGTGGCAAACCTGCTATCCTGGTTTTTTGTTAGCGCCATGTGCAAATTACTCAGCAGAAAAGGCCAAGAGAAGCTACATCTTTATCTGAAGCAACTGGAAAAGTTGGCTTCTGCAAGTATGGCTGTCAGAAAAACCAAAGCACAACTTACTGGGGTCTTCTCAGGGATGGATACAGGCTGGCTGGGAGAAGGTGGGAGAGGGGCTGGCTGGGGACTTTTACAGCCAGTCACAGAGATGGCCCTGGAGACAATCTTGCTAAGGGACCTCAGACCACAGCCCCTGCTCCAGCCTCCGGGCAGGCGAGCAGCGCCCAGCACGACTCTGCAACCAGCCACCATCCCTCCCCCACGCCCTCCCCACAGTGCTGTCAGCGTCCTCACTTCTTCTGGAAGGCCAGGAGCAGCCTCGGGTCCAGGATGTTCTCCTCCGGCTCCCAGCTGTTATGTCTGCAAAGCAGAGGGCAGGGCAGCATTAGACGCCAGGCTGATGATCACGGCTTTGCAAAGCAGCCCGAGGGGGCCCGCCCTCACCGCTCCTCGACTCAGGAGTCGAGGGTGTGGCACCGTAGCACCATGGCACTTCTCAAAGTGCAAACCCAGGTTTTGGAGGCTGGCCACCCCCCACCAACCCAGCACTCTAACCTCAAACCCAAAGGGAAACTGCCGCTCCAACTCCCCAATTAAAACAAGGCCACAAGAGGACTCCCACAGTCTCTGCCTGGGAGAAAAACAAATCCCAATAAAACGCAAAGTTGCAGAGAGGGAATCCCCCAAACCCTGGCCTGGAGCCAGAGAAGGAAGGGAAGGCAGGTCCAGGATGCAGGGAGGGGCACAGGCGCCCAGCCCGAGATCCAGAACAATGTGGCGCGCGGGCCGGGGCACCTCGAGGGGTAGCAAAGAAAGAGCGCGGTACGGGGAAACGGGGAAACGGGGCCGCGGGAGCAGCTGTGCACAGAGCCCCTTCCGGGGATGCCAAATCCCCTCCCTTCCATTAAAAGAAAGAAAAAAAAAAAGAAACTCTACATCCATCAATAGGAAGCTCAGGTTACAGCAGAGAGAATCTAGCCAAGAGAAGGGGGGCTTGCATCCCGCGCCTCCCTCCCGGCCCGGGCGGGGGATGGGGGGAGCGCGGCGCCGGGGCCGAGGAGGTTCCGGCGCGGGGGGCCGCCCAGCTCTCCCCCGCGGGCGTGTAAACAAAGGGCAACCTCGGGCCGGGCGGCCTCCGCCCCCTCAGAGCCGGAGGAGCCCGCGGGGACCCCGCGAACTTCCCGCTCAGCCCGCGGGCGCCCCCAGTCCCCCGGACGGCGCGGCCGAGGGCTCCACGTCCCCACCCCCGGGCGAGGAGGCGGCAGGGCGGGCGCAGCGTCGCGGGGGACTCACTTGGAGGACCAGCCGCGCCACTTGACCAGGTACTCCAGCTTGCCCTGCGGGGAGAGAAGAGGAGCCGTGAGCCAGACGGGCGGCAGGCGGCGGGAGGGGGCCGGGCGGGCCGCACGCACCTTGCGGAGCCGCTTGCTCAGGATGCACTCAGCGGCGAAGACCTGCTCGCCCACGCTGCTCAACTCCTCCATGCTGCCCGGCAGCCCGCCCGACCGCGGCGCCCGCCGCCAGTACCCCGGCCGCACCGCCGCGCGCCCCGCCGGCCGCACACAAAGCACCGCCCCCGCCCGGCGCCGGCCCGCCCCGCGCACGCGCACCGCCTCTCCGCGCCCGCGCCGAGGCCCGCCGCCCGCCCCCGCGCGCTGCCCAAATCCTGTGCGGGCCAATCAGCGAGGGGGGGCGGGCGCGGGGCGGGGCGGGGCGTGCATTGTCCGCGGCGGGCTGGGAGTCGCGCTCTGGTGGGGGGTCCCGCGCGGGGTCCGGGGGGGCGGCCGGAGCGGGGGCGCGGGCGGGCCCCTGGCTAGGGGAGGAGGTGCCTAGGGGCTTCGGGTCTGAGGCGCCCACCGAGTACCGCGTGGTCCCCGGGGCGCGCCCGGCCTTGCTCCCAACTCCGTTTTCCGGGCAAAAAGCCATTGTTCTGGCTCTAAGGGAGGGAAGCGGGACGGGGCGCGGCGGCCGCTTCCTGCCCCCGCCTTCGAGGGGCGCTCCTCCGGGGCGCTCGGGGCCCCACCCTTCCCCGGCTTCTTGAACTGGCTTTTCCTCGGCGGTGGGGGAGTGGCTCTGCTTTGGACTGGAGCAAAACGGGTCGGGGGCTGGGGGAGGAAAGGAAGATGAAGGCCCGGGGGAGGGGCCCACAAACCCCGGCAGCCCAGGCTTTTCCCCTCAAAAGCGAGAGAGGAAAATACATTAACTGAAATCACCAAGCACTCTAAGAAAGAGGTAATACGAACTGCTCGGAGTTCTTATTAAACAGCTATGAAAAGTGGATCCAGTCCCCGAGTTTTAGGGCACGTGTAGGTAGAAAGCCAGCTGCACCTTTTCTGTATTTGTTCCCCGATTTTGATGAAGTGGAGGGGGGGGGGCGGTTTGCAGGGCTGTTCCTAACTTAGGACTAGGTTAGTAGTGGCCTGCCAGGGCTGGACAGCCGGCGTCCTTCGAATCAATTGTCCGCGGTAGAAAAGGGTCAGGCCACGTTATGAAAGTGGGGGTGACCCCTTGTCCTCCCTGGGATCGTAGTCCGCAGGCTACCCTTTTATTCCGGTGTTAAGATTCTAATTCCATAAACAATCACCCTTTAAGTTATTTAGATTTTGAATCAGGACAACTGAAACATGTAATGAAAGAGATAGACCTGAACCTTAACTTTATTCGTCTCGATGCAATCTAACTCCATGAAAGTTCACTCTGCTTTTGTTGCTTACTCGAACACAGCTGCAAAGTTCTCTTTCTGTTGAAGAGATCCAAAAGTCGTTTATTGTTGTAGGAAACTGTCTCAATGTAATTGTGATCATCAAAACCATATTTATAAAGGGTTCTGCAGGAGAAATATGTTTTTTTGTTTTAACAGAAAGGCCTACTGGAGAAAATACTGAAGTGTAGGAACCGATCTTTCCATTTATGGCGTTTTCTTCAGTTTCTTTGGTTAGGTAAGTTACATTCATTGGATTTCCTGGAGAGAACGTGCAAATTCAGATGATGTTTGCAAAGAGGGCAGGAGAAAGGGAAACGTCCTTGGGGGGAAGGTGTTTGTTTACTCAGGGACAGAGGCAGTAAAGAATCCTTGTGTTGGGTTAAAACTGGCCTCTGGAGTGAAGGGATCCGCTAACAGCCTCTCCGCCTGGCTCCTTTTGTATCCCGTCTTGTGCAGCTTGGCAGTAAATTGTGGAGTTGAGGGCAAAGGTGTATTTATTGTAATCCTACAAATAGCTGGATCAGTTTCACATCACGTTTCCTTGCAGAATTCATCTTGGGTCTAAGATTTTGCCCTGGAAGTTTCCAGTTTCCTCTTTGACCCATAGTATGCTGGGATACTTGCTTGATTTCTTTTTAAATAAAAGAAGGCTTTGAAAAGGGAATGATTTCTTTGCCTAAGAAATAAATTTGCTAGAATTTGATACTAACACATTGAAGAATAAATCAGCGTCCTGGAAGGTTTAACATGTATATCATCTACCTAACTGCAAACACTCAGTTTGGGTAAAATAATATTTAGATGATTCATTTGGAGAGACAAATATGACAGATTTGGCCAGAATGAAATAATCAGATACATACTGGGAGCGTGTGATCCAAAATCTGTGGCACATTCCCTAAAAACAAAGCTGGGAGTAGGCAGAAGGGAGGAAAGACCCCAGCTAATCCAACTGTGTAAAACAAGCGGACGTCTTCCGTTTTGACTGTCACATTTTAAGAATTATTAAGACAAGTTAAAACTAATTATTGTATTATTCATTCGACAGATAGTTAGCATGTACTATCAGGTGGGCACTACTACGTATCCGGTAGTATAAGATGGTAGCAGCAGCTCCATCTGTGGAACTTGTGTGGGTGATGGAAGTGGAGGGACAGAGCCTCCGTCCACTGCGTCCAGTGTGGTGGCCGTTAGCCATCTGTGGCTGCTGAGCACTGGCAGTGTGGCTAGTGCCACTGAAGGATCGAATTTTAAATTGTATTTCATTTTAATTCATTTCAGTGGGAATAGCCACATGTAGCTGGTGGTCACTGTACCGGACGCTGTGCAGGTCCACAGGAACGAGAGGGATCTGCTTTAAACATATTTTAAGTGAAAGTAATATGGTTACATAAATTAATCCTGGAATATGAGTAGTTTACCTGCGCTCACAGTTATGCTTAATTATATACGAGAATGTTTAAAACACATACAAAAAAGATATTAAAAATCCAGGCACAGAGGAAGACATTCAGAGAGTACAAACTTTGTATAGTATTGAGTTCCTTTCTACGCAAGTGATAAGGACAAGTATTAACTTATTCATGTCTGAAATACTACTAAGAAAGCATAAGTGGCCGGGCGCGGTGGCTCAAGCCTGTAATCCCAGCACTTTGGGAGGCCGAGACGGGCGGATCACGAGGTCAGGAGATCGAGACCATCCTGGCTAACCCGGTGAAACCCCGTCTCTACTAAAAATACAGAAAACTAGCCGGGCGAGGTGGCGGGCGTCTGTAGTCCCAGCTACTCGGGAGGCTGAGGCAGGAGAATGGCGTGAACCTGGGAGGCGGAGCTTGCAGTGAGCAGTGAGCAGATCCGGTAACTGCACTCCAGCCTGGGCGACAGAGCGAGACTCCGTCTCAAAAAAAAAAAAAAAAAAAAAAAAAGAAAGCATAAGTATTTTCACGCCATGCTTGTGGATCGAAAATTAAAGATGCCAAAGCAAAGAATGACTCACTCTGAAGTCAATGGAAAAGTCAGGAATTGAGATAAATCCAGTGACCCTGGGTTTAGCAGCTAAAACTAGATAACAGTTGTTACTTCTTACCAAATAGTTTCAGAAAGCTCTTACATTTTCTAAAAGTGCTGTTTCCCTACTGCCATCAGTGGCGTTGGCTAAAAGGAGGAACCAGATACCACCACCAGCCGGTCTGCATGGGATACACTCAGGATTTAGAATACATCACACATTTACATCATATTTAATATCTTATGTCATAGTTTGCCCGCAGCTCCTCTGCACATTTGCAAGACTAAGATGTGACTTATAGGCTAGCTGTGTTAATGTTATGCCATTTCTTTGTGTGTAATAGATAAATATTACGTATGCGAGACAGACCGTGCTTGTGTATCAGAACTCAAGTAAAAATAAGCACAGTTCAGGCGCTTGCAGGATTCCTCAAGAATTCAGTTTGCCTAGGATACCCCAGAGGCAGCCCGGGGCTCTGAGCGTTTAGAACACCTTCTTACAAAGGGCAGCCTGCCCAGTCCCTTGCTGTGCACATGAGGCAGATGAATACAGACTGTATCAGGTACAGGGCTGTGGAGCCTGGTCCTGCTGTTTCCCATGTTTGCCTGGGAGCGGCAAACGAGCAGGCTGTTATGGAAGTGGTGAGAGCCTGCTCTCAGGAGGCCTTCCAGGGTCAAAGGCTGGAGCAACCCCTTATGCTCCTCGGATTCCCCTCACCCTCACCCACCAGGCCACCTAGCCCATTGCAGCACACCTAAAGACAGGCTCAGGCTGGAGGCCCCCCAACCCCGCCACGGATCCTGGAGGCAGGGGGTGGTTAAGGAACACAGTTACAGGAGGTGGGAAATGGACAATGAGCTCATTTTATGATGATAGTCCCCTTGCAGGAGGTCTCCGTGACATGAAGCTTTTCTTTTAAAGGGTGTCATTTATTAATTTTGCAATCAGATCGGTCCCTGATTCCAGTTTCTTACTATTAAAACAGTGCAGCAGTGATCGTCTTTGTCTTCCCATATGCAAAGTACCAGCGTAGCTACAGAGTAACATGGACAGACCTGTATTAAAGGGGTATGTCTTCTCTATGGGAGAAAGGAAAAAAAAGGATACGTGGCTCTACTTTTTTAGTTAGCTATTACCAAACTGCCCTCTGAGGGTCTGCACTAATTCACACTCACACCTGGGTAGGTGGGGTTGCCTCTGTCCCCCCTTCTCCGTAGCTCTAGTAATTGCAAGTGATCTAGTGTTGTCTGAGCAACCTGGTGCTCAGCTGGTCCAGCAGTTCAGTGCGCATGCCACCTCGGCTTTTTCCAAGACCTTTGCCTGGTGTCTGGTGCAGAATTGTTACAGTGCAAAACAGTTTTATGAGCGTAAGTTTCCAGGGTGAAATGCAGTATTTTCACAATTTAAAAAATAACAGGCCAGGCCCAGTGGCTCACGCCTGTCATCCCAGCACTTTGGGAGGCTGAGGCGGGCGGATCATGAGGTCAGGAGAGGAATGGGCGAGGGGAGTTCAGGATCGAGGCGTGGTCATGAATCCTCCCGCTGCTCCTGCCAGCTCTGTGAGAGGCGGTGGCACAGGACATTTGTAGGATGCCCTGGAGGAGCAGGGTGGGCAGGAACCGGACCAGCAACGATGACAGAGCACAGCGTCTCCAGGCGCAGGGAAGCAAAGGGAATGACAAAAGCACAAGCAGAGCCCCCAGCCCAACCTAGAGGACAGGGTGCTCCAGAGAAATAGCCAATAGGTAGAAATATCAGCATTCAGAGATTTATTGCAAGGCACTGGCTGATGTGATGGTGGGGTCTGGTGAGGCAAGTCCCAAACTGCAGGGCAAGCCTTCCTCAGAGGCAGCCAGGATGACTCGACAGGAGCTGGCGCTACAGTCCACAGGCGGAGTTTCTTGTCTTCAATGAATTGATCAGGCCCACCCAGATTATTCGGGGTAACCTCCTTTACCTCAAGTCACAGCAGCGACTGGATTTGCGCTTGCCTGAGTACCTGGGGGCTGTGGCCTAGCCGGGGGAACCCCTCAGCCTAACGGATCATCCCTGGGCTCAGCCCCTCAGTGCTCCTGCTGGTCATGCCGGGGTCACTCACGTGGCTTCAGCTTGGCTGGGGCTGGATGGCGTGGGATGGCCTTTCTTGTGTGGCTAGTGCGTGGTGCTGGCTGTTGGCGGGGCTGTCTGTCTGCAGCAGGCCAGCGTGGATCCTTTTTTCAGGGTCTCCAATGGAAGCTGAGGTCCCGTGTTTCCTGATGCCCCAGGGGCCACAGCAAGTTGCATGAAAGCCACGTGAGGTAAACTCCAACCTCTTGACCAGAGGGGTAGCAAATGAGTGACCATTCAGGATCTGGAAGAATTTGTAGCCACTTTAGGGGTCATTTGTACCCTCTCCAGAGGGTAAGATCAGAAAACAGTTTAGCAACCACTGAGCCCAGCACTGCTTGGATTGTGTTAAATGAGTGGAAGATTCTTAATTGCCCTGACTTGCAGGATGGGGCACTGGCTAGTCCCGTGGTGTATTTGCTCCGGCTGCCACAACAAAGTTCCATGGCCTGAGAGGCCTGTAGGGGCTCCCAGAAGTTAATTTTCTCACAATTCTGGAGACTGGAAGTTTTAGATCAAGAGGTGGGCAGGGTTGGTTTCTTTTCTCCTTGGCTGTAGATGGTGTCTTCTCCCTGCATCCTCATAGGGTCGTCCCTCTGTGCACATCTGTGTCCTCATCTCCTCTTCTTTTTTTTGAGACAGAGTCTCGCTCGGTCGCCTGGGCTGGAGTGCAGTGGTGCAATCTTGGCTTACTGCTAACTCCACCTCCCGGGTTCAAGTGATTCTTCTGCCTCAGCCTCCCGAGCAGCTGGGATTACAGGCATGCACCACCACGCCCAGCTAATTTTTGTATTTTTTGTAGAGATGGGGTTTCGCTATGTTGGCCAGGCTGGTCTCGATCTCCTGACCTCAGGTGATCCACCCGCCTTGGCCTCCCAAAGTGCTGGGATTACAAGCGTGAGCCACCACGTCCGGCTCTCACCTCCTCTTCTCATAAGGAAACCAGTCCTGTTGGGTTAGGGCCACAATAATGACCTTAGTTTAACTTAATTACTTCGTTAAAGTTCCTTTCTCCAAATGCAGTCACTTTCTGAGCTGCTGGGAGTCAGGGCCTCAGCATGTGGATTTGGAGGGGGGTGTGGTCTATCCCGTAGCACCTGATCTGTCCCCACCTCCTCCCTGCTTTGTGCTGTGCTATCCTCATCACTTCATGACTCACATTTGTTGGTGTCCAGTATGTGCCAGGCCCTGTGCTGAGTCTGTGTGTATGACTTCATGGAACCATTCTTCTTTCCCTGTAGCCACAAGAGGATCCTTCAGTCACCTCTGAGGACCATCACCAGGCAAACCGGCCCTTAGAATATTAATAGGGTTTGGCTGTGTCCCCACCCAAATCTCATCTTGAATTGTAGCTCCCATAGTCTCCACGAGCCGTGGGAGGGATCTGGTGGGAGGTCATTGAATCCTGGGGGTGGGGTCCCCCCCCCCGTTCCTGTGATTGTGAATAAGTCTCACGGGATCTGATGTTTTTATAAAGGGGAGTTCCCCTCCACACGCGCTCTGCCTGCTGCCGTGTAAGACGTGACTCGGATCCTCCTTCGCCTTCCACCATGATTGTGAGGCCTCCCCAGCTATGTGGAACTGTGAGTTCATTAAACCTCTTTCCTTTATAAATTACCCTGTCTCAGGTATGTCTTCATAGCAGTATGAAAATGGACTAATACAAATATCCACATGGTCAGTTTCTGCTTCAGCATGAGAAGATATCACTCTATGTCTGATTGAACACCAGATCCTGGTGGTTAGGGCCCAGGCCATGTGAAAAATATTTATCAGAAAACAACTCCAACCCCAAAGAATTAAATGTGTGAGTTACATGTAGGGATAATACAACTCTATGGTAGGACTGAAAAACTGGAAACAGTGTAAACCTTGAAAGAGAACAGGTACGTTAGGAGCAGTGGTGGAGTCAGCTGGGGTAAACCTAGGCAGTAGGGGGCTGGACCACACCGCTGTTAAGGACAGGTGGGTCTGCGTGTGTCCATAGGGAAAGGTCTCCAAGGTACATATTGTTTAAAAAGCTAAGTGTGGAACAGTATTGTATTAGCTTGCTAGGGCTGCTGTAAGGAATAACCACAAACTAGGTGACTTCAAACGGCAGAAATTGGCCGGGCGCGGTGGCTCAAGCCTGTAATCCCAGCACTTTGGGAGGCCAAGACGGGCGGATCATGAGGTCAGGAGATCGAGACCATCCTGGCTAACACGGTGAAACCCCGTCTCTACTAAAAATACAAAAAACTAGCCGGGCGAGGTGGCAGCGCCTGTAGTCCCAGCTACTCCGGAGGCTGAGGCAGGAGAATGGCGTAAACCCGGGAGGCGGAGCTTGCAGTGAGCTGAGATCCGGCCACTGCAGTCCAGCCCGGGCTACAGAGCAAGACTCCGTCTCAAAAAAAAAAACAAACAAACAAACAAAAAAAAAAAAAACAAAAAAACACAGCAGAAATCTATTCTCTCAAAGTCATAGAGGCCAGAGGTTTGAAAGCAAGGTGTGAGCAGGGCCCCTCTCCCTCTGAAGACCCCAGGGAGGCTCCTTCCTTGTCTCTTTTAGCTTCTGCAGGGGGTCACCTGTCACCTGCAGTCCTTGGTGCTGCTGGGTACAGCATAATTCCAGTCTCTGCCTGCTTGTTCACATGGCCTTCTGCTGTGTGTCTCCACGTTCTGTCTCCTTTTTCTTATCTAGACCCCAGTCATTGGATTTAGGGCCCACCCCAAATGCAGGACGATTTCATCTAAAACCTTTAAGTTAATTACAGCTGCAAAGATCCTGTATCCAAATAAGGTCCCATTCAGAAGAACCAGCACTGGGACGTGGACATCTCTTTTTTGGGAGGAATGCTATACAAATAGATAAGATGTGATTTCTGTTGTGCAAACAAAAGAGATTTGTATGCTGTTAGATGTATATAAATTTTCAGAGAGGAGACCCAAGACACCAACAAGAGTGATTACTTTTGGAGGCAATGGAGAGAGCCGTGATATATGGATTTGTGAACTATTCACAAATTTTTATCTTGCACATGTATAACTTCATATAAAGTACTGCTTCCTGAGTTATCTAGCTTTTGAGGTCATGGATTACTTTGAGCTTCTTTACATTTTAATGTATTTTTTTAAAATGGTAATACATTTTACGAAGATTTTTACAATAAAAGTATTCAGGCCCTGATCTTCTCTGAATATATCCTGATTACTTCATTGCTGAGATAAATTACAGAAGACTCAAACAGAGAAGACCCTGTTTATGGACTGGAAGATCAGTTACTTTTTTTTTCAGACAGAGTCTTCCTCTGTCACCCAGGCTGGAGTGCAGTGGTATGATCTTGGCTCACTGCAACCTCTGCCTTCCGGGTTCAAGTGATTCTCCTGACTCAGCCTCCTGAGTAGCTGGGATTACAGGTGCACACCACCATGCCTGGCTAATTCTTATATTTGTAGGAGAGACGGGGTTTCACCATGTTGGTCAGGCTGGTCTCGAACTCCTGACCTCACGATCTGCCCATCTTGGCCTCCCAAAGTGCTGGGATTACAGGCGTGAACCAGTGCGCCTGGCTAGATCAATTACTTTTAAGATATCAGTTCCCCTCAAATTAATCTAAAGATTGAACACAATCCTAATCAAAATCTCAGCATCTAAAAAGAAATAAAGAAATGGATAAGTGAATTATAAAATATACAGGGAAATGCAAAGAACCTGAAATTATCCAAACAGCCTCAAAAAAGAACTGGGTTGGAGGACTCACATGACCTTATTTCAAGACTTAAGTATAAAGTTACATAGTCAGTGCGCTGTGACTTGGCGAAGAATAGACAAATACTATTCATGGAACAGGAAAAAAATCCAGAAATGGGCCCACAGGTATACATGGTTATTCTGTTTCTGACAAAAGAAAATCATCAGAGACAGAAACCTCTTTTCAACATGTGATGTTGGATGACTTGGTTACCCATACACATAAAAATGAAAGACCCGTGGCCCCTAATTCACATGACACGTGGCAATTAATTTGAGCTGGCTCAGACATAAACACAAAAGTGAAGATAATAAAGTTTCTAAAAGTAAATATGGGTGAAGCGGGAAAATTGCTTGAAGCCAGGGGTTTGAAACCAGCCTGGACAATAACAAGTTTTTTTTTTTAAAGTTAGCTGGTTGTGGGCCAGGCGCGGTGGCTCACACCTGTAATCCCAGCACTTTGGGAGGCTGAGGCAGGCGAATCACTTGAGGTCAGGAGTTCTAGACCAGCCTGGCCAATATGGTGAAACTCTGTCTCTACCAAAAATATAAAAAATTAGCTGGATATGGTGGTGCATGCCTGAAATCCCAGCCACTCAGGAGGCTGAGGCAGGAGAATCACTTGAACCTGGAAGTGAAAGTTGCAGTGAGCCGAGATCATGCCACTGCACTCCAGCCTGGGTGACAGAACGAGACTCTGTCTCAAAAAAAAAAAAAAAAAAGAAAAAAAGTTAGTTGGCTGGGGTGGTGCAACCAGCTATAGTAATACTTGCTGCTACTTGGTAGGCTGAAGCAGGAGGATGCTTGAGCCCAGGAGTCCAGAAGTTTGAGGCTGCAGTGAGCCATGATTGCGCTACTTACTGCATTCTAGCCTGGACGACAGAGCAAGACCCTGTCCCTAAAATATAAAAATAAAATGAAATAAAATAAAAGGCCAGGCACCATGGCTCATACCTGTAATCCCAGCACTCTAGGAGGACGAGGTAGACAGATCACTTGAGGCCAGGAGCTTGAGACCAGCCTGGCCAACATGGGGAAAGGCCATCTCTACTAGAAGTACAAAAGTTAGTAGGGAGTGGTGGTGCATGCCTGTAATTCCAGCTACTTGAGGGGCTGAGGCTCAAGAATTGCTTGGACCCGGGAGGCGGAGGTTGCAGTGAGCCAAGAATGTGCTGCTGCACTCCAGCCTGGGCAACAGAGCAAGGCTGTCTCAATAAAGAAAGAAATAAATAAATAAGAAGTAAATACAAAAGAATACCTGCAACTTTTAGGCTGACAAAGGTCTCTTGGTTTCTAAAACCAAGAGTTATTTCCAAAAAATTGACAAATTGGACTTTGTCAGATTTTAAAACTTGTGCTCATCAAATGATACCATTAAGAACATGAGCCGGCCGGGCGCGGTGGCTCAAGCCTGTAATCCCAGCACTTTGGGAGCCCGAGGCGGGTGGATCACGAGGTCAGGAGATCGAGACCATCCTGGCTAACACGGTGAAACCCCATCTCTACTAAAAATACAAAAAACTAGCCGGGCGTGGTGGCGGGCGCCTGTAGTCCCAGCTACTCGGGAGGCTGAGGCGGGAGAATGGCGTGAACCCGGGAGGCGGAGCTTGCAGTGAGCCGAGATCGCGCCACTGCACTCCAGCCTGGGCGACACAGCGAGACTCCGTCTAAAAAAAAAAAAAAAAAAAAAAAAAAAAAAGAACATGAGCCAGAAAGCCTCAGACTGGGAGAAAATACTTGTAATACGAAGAACTTGTATGTAGAATATACAAAGGACTCTTACAAATTAAGAAAAAAAAAGGACAGAGAATGCCTTTTTGTTTTTTCTTTTTCTTTTCTTTTTCTTTTTAATGGGCAAAAGACTTCAAGTAGTTCACCAAAGATGATATCTGTTTTTATTTTTAATTTATTTTTTACTTTTTGATACAGAGTCTCGCTTTGTTGCCCAGGCTGGAGTGCAATGGTGCGATCTCAGCTCACTGCAACCTCTGCCTCGTGAGTTCAAGCGATTCTCCTGCCTCAGCCTACCTAGTAGTTGGGATTACAGGTGCCCACTACCACACGCCCAGCTAATTTTTTTTCTTTTTTTGGAGACAGAGTCTCGCTCTGTCGCCCAGGCTGGAGTGCAGTGGCGTGATCTCGGCTCACTGCAACCTCTGCCTCCCGGGTTTATGCCATTCTCCTGCCTCAGCCTCCCGAGTAGCTGGGATTACAGGCACCTGCTACCACGCCTGGCTAATTTTTTGTATTTTTAGTAGAGACAGGGTTTCACTGTGTTAGCCAGGATGCTCTCGATCTTCTGACCTCATGATCTGCTCGCCTCAGCCTCCCAAAGTGCTGGGATTACAGGCTTGAGCCACTGCGCCCGGCTAATTTTTGTGTTTTATTAGAGACGGGGTTTCACCATATTGGCCAGGCTGGTCACAAACTCCTGATCTTGTGATCCACCCGCCTTGGCCTCCCAAAGTGCTGAGATTACAGGTGAGAGCTACCATGCCCGGCCTTAATTTTTTAAAAAAGATCATTAAACTGGGGAAAGAATACTGTGGCATCTTAATAAAAGTTACGGCCCCTCGGGATTTTCTTTTTTCTTTTCTTTATTTCTTTTTTTTTTTTTTTTTTTTTTGAGACAGAATCTCATTCTCACCCAGTCTGGAGTGCAGTGATTCAGTCTTGGCTCACTGCAACCTCCGCCTCCTGGATTCAAGTGATTCTC